GGGGGTCTTTTCCCGGCCATAGTCAACGACATGAAGGTAACTGCCCCCCCCCCCCCACACCCCTGCACCTCCCTCACCTTTCTTCAGCTCCTCCACATCTCCTACGTCTGACATCACCTTCACCCTGAGAATCTCACACACCATCTTCACCTTATTAACCTTTCCCATGCCATCGTCAACCGCAAAAAATACAAAAACAGAATTCCTTATTTACTCCCATCTACTTCCAGCTTCTCTGCATCATCATCATCCAGCACCACAGCAGTGGTTATTGTGGTGCTGGATGATGATGATGATGATGATGGTGATGATGATGATTAAGCTGTGTAGGCCACAGTCAGTGTATGAAATATCCTCCATTCCACTAGCATCGACCTCTCCAAAAACAGCTTCTTGACATCATTCTTGTCTGTGGTCAGGATTTGATTTACCTTCATTTTGAACATGCATTTACGTAACTGACCCCCCGGGCATTTGTCAATAGCATGCAGGTACTGTTCCCGAAAGTTCCTACTCCTACATGTTCTGTTCCATCCTAAACACCTCTACGTTTGTCCACCTACTCACCATCTCTGCTGCCATTAGATCATTTACCCCTTTTTTTCTTTCAACAATAATCTAATTTACCTGCTCCAATATAAAATGCAGTGTTTCCCGGACTTACATCTTCCATGTTCTTCATCCTACCTAACAACCTTCACCTTCTTGATTAGCTAAGCCAAGTCAGGACATGATTATCATACCCCTTTTTACCCCCTTCTCTGAATTATCTAATCTTTAGATCAGGGGTGTCAAACACAATTTCACAGTGGGCCAAAATTAAGAACTGGGACAAAGTTGCAGGCCAAACTCAATATTTATTGAAAATTTGACTGCAAATGTGCATGTTTTCTCTTCTCTCCAGATATCCTATGTTGAATTGTTTCATTTGGAACCAACCATTAGTTTTGCGTCAACCTTAAATCTGGAACGACCAATGCTTAATATTATAAACACGTGAGAAATTTAGACACACATCAGAACAACCCAAAATGTATGTGGTATAATATTGCACATACATCCCGCTAGTATTTAGTGGCTAAATAATGGCGGGCCAGCTCTAATACACATACTCATGATCTTGAGGGCCAAATATAAATACATCAGGGGCCAGATTTGGCCCACAGGCCTGGGTTTGACACCTTCTTAACCAACTACCCTCTTAGCATCTTCACAACCCCTATCCAGTTCACTTTGAAAACATTCTTATTAATATGTAGCATACTTCAGTAAATGGCATCAAGTGTATTATATAGTGTATACCACCTTTTTGCGTTTCTGTTTTTCACACTGTTTGCTGTGACCTCGTGCAATCTCCTATACCAGGGGTCACCAACGTTGCTCGGGCGCACCTGGTAGCCCCCGTGGGGTATGTTCTAAAAATATAACTAGTCGACAAGAAGGTGAAAAATTGTACTGTTACTGTGCTTTTTGAATTAGTTACACTTGCAATGATATTCAAACGGGTGCAATGACGATGGTAAGAAGAGTGTCCTATTGTATGTCCCAGAACTAATTATACTTACATTGTTTAGGAAGTCGGTATTAAACAAGTAGCTCCTCGTATTACTAAGTGTCTTTGAAGTAGCTCTCAGTTTCAAAAAGGTTGGTGACCCCTGTCCTATACTAACCTCTACGTTCCTAAAAACCTTTCTCCAGAACCCTTTTTTAACCCCAAATTACCATCCAGTTCAAAACTGTTTGATCACCTAAGACGTTGCTTTCAATTTCTTATTATTTACTTATTTATCGTTCTCCAGCTTCCCCTGTCACCGCCTATATTCTAGTTGCAGCCTCTCCAGCATGAGCTCGACCCGCAGGCCACAATGGATCCTAAATTATGTAAAATGTAAATGTCTTGCACAGAGCCTAAAATACTAAAATGCTTTAGCATTTTCTACGCCATCTTTTGGGTATATAAGATATTGCAAGGAAAAGGCAAAAGTATAATGATGATAAAAATCAATAATATTATTTGGACAAGTTTGGCGGGCCAGATTAAATAGCCAAACGAGCCGTACCTGGCCCCCGGTCCCTAGTTTGCTGTGTCATAAACTGAACACACACGCACACACACCTGTGTGGTGTGGATGATGATGAGGGTGATGATGAAAATGATGAAGGTGGGGGAGCTGGAAATAATTGTGTTCCTGAATGACTGGATTTTTTTCTTCTGTGATGTGGTGGCCTCTCTTTCACCTCCCCCTTCTCTGTTTGAGACATAAATACCAAACTAGGCATTGGACAGTCCCAATCAGGTTTTAACCCAAAAATGAAACAAAAATAGTCTTCTGTTTCAGACCTGATATGAACATTATATCTCAGACCAAATACTTAACTGTTTGTATTTGTTTTTTTGGAGGACTGTGAGAAATTCAGTCACTCAGATAAGGAAGTAACGGAAGTATCAGAAAATACAGAGCACATCAATCTGCCCAGAGAACGGAAGTATCAAAAAATACAGAGCACATCAATCTGCCCAGGCATTTAAGTATTTAAGTACTCCATGGTACTTCGCTTTAAAAGTGAACATTGCGAACATTGCGCAATCACGAGTTCTTCAGCACCGGTAAGGATGAATGAAATTGCCTTTCCTTTTTATAGCTTAATTCTTTATTCAGTTGTGTTTATCTTTTTTTGTTAGCTCTAACTATTTTCATTGGTTCCGTGTATGAACTTGTACACAAAATACTGTTGAAAAAGTTTGAATAAGCAACCATCTTAATCCAGGAACGGATTAATCCATTTTACATTGATTCCTATGAGGAACATTGTTCCAGTCTTTGAACTTTTCGGCAGTGGATTTATTTCACGAGGAAGTGGTTTATTTCCGTTGATTTAATGGCCGATATTCTTAGCCACAGTGCATGCCAAAACCTACCAAAAAAATAAATACATAAGAATCCAAACCGGAACGATTGAGTACATTAGAAAGAATAAAAAAAGATAGCTATGTAAAGTTTTCAAAGATTTTACAGTTTTTTTTTTCAAATTTATACAATTATCAAACAATGGAATGAACGTTTGAAAAACACCAACAGTTGCCAAAAAATATTTTTAAGTTAAAACTTTGAATTTGTAAATGCAACACACAAATAAATATAAATAATATAGCATTGAGAATTGGGGGTAAAGATGATAAGCTATAAAATGAGAAAGTCTCAACAAAAGCTCTATCTCTAATCAAAGTTTCTTTTACTTCTTTTGCAAGTATTGATTTGTTTTCACTATTCCAACATACATTTTCAACAAACATAGACCAGTATTGACAAGGAGGGAGGAGTACTTATGATATTTTGTTGAGAAAACAGATGTATTGCCTTGTTTTCAAAATGAGATACACAGTATATATAATATATTCAGTTTATATATAAGCAAGTATCCAGTATTCCAGTCATTTTAGGATGTATTATCCTTAGGGAGCACTATACAATTACAGATCTTTGTGAGCAATACATGAAATTCTGACTCATCCAATGGGGAGTGTTCTTTAAAGAATTGAGAAACGGTAAACCTTCAGACCTTCACAGTATTCTGATGTCTACAGGTTTCTTTAGAGAGTATAACAGTATAACTTGGCAACATGTTTTTGATCATCAGAAGTAGTATAGATAATTTTTAAATAATCTATCCAGTCTAATCCAGTTTGAAGAAGTATGAGTTCAGTTCTTCTTGTTCTAGCTTTTTGTTTGTTTTTCGAGACCTTATAACACCTTCTTCAGTTTTTCCCTATATATTTTGTCTGAATTATCTTGCAGGTTGAAAAGCTTTGTTGTCTCTTCTTTTGTTAGATTGTCCGGTGAAATTTGAGAAACCTGAGATATATCTGAAATGATGGTCTTCTTTTTTTCTTTTAAATTACTCCCAAATTTCCTGAGGTATTCGGCTGATCTCTTGTGTTTAAATAGCTCCAAATTTGTTCTGAAAGAATACTCCAATAATAATTGGATAAGAGATCTTAGTTTTGAGTTCCTTGATCTCAAGAAGTGAATTGTTCAGATTCCAGTAATTTGCTTTTATAACCCCGGTCCAATGAAGAGATCTTTATAGAGATGTAAATGGTTTATGATCACTTAAGGAACAGGGAATGGTGTTTACTGAGATACTGTTGCATTTACCATTGCAAATGAACAAGTTGATCCTTCACTGCCATGTGAAAGAAATGTTGTTATCCCATACGGTTCTCAAGAAATTCCATGTTGAATTTTTTTTTTAATATATTTCCCAACCCCCTGGTGTTTATGGACAATGAAATAATTGGAAAATAGAAAACTAGATACTCCTTTCTGAATAAAACTCAGAGAGAGTTAACAGTCAGCCCTGTTTTACACTTTTACTGTATTTCAAATATAGTTTGTGCGTGATTTTGCAGTTTCGTTTCTTTATATAAATATTAGAACTCTTATTGTATTTCTTTTTGTACCAAAAATGTACCTATGATGATGCTTTCCTGTATTGCGATGCGTGGTAGGCGATTTGAGGGAAGACGAGAGGGATGGTGTCCACCTTGATAGCAAAATAAAAAACAAAATTGGCTGATAGCATTTGTGTGTAGTAACCACAGGGAAATAATGGAATGGACAACTTTTCCAACACCATTGCCCATCCTTACCCACCGTGAATCTTTTAGTTCAAATGACTCAATGATTAGTTAGGAGAACGTTGCACTGATTTTTTTTTATCACTGTAAATAATTATTATTCATTGCATCAAAGGTAGCATTCAGTACACAAGCACATATGACACAGGAAATTGGCCGTGGTTTCAGGCTGAGGATTTGCTGAGCACAAAAAGACGAAAGGAGGAGATGGAGAAAGATGAGGGGATAAGAGGAAGAAAAAGTGCTTTCTAATCAGCATGGAAAATGCTGCCAGGCCTTTTTTTTAGTTTGACTTTACTGTGAACTATCAAGATTGAGAAGTTTCATTTCTCATCTTCTGAGGCTAATGAAAATCTTGTACGAGGTTACACGCAAGGAGACACACGGACGTCTATGCTAGATAATGACAACGGTTGGTGTTATGTAATTTGAGGTTAACACAGCTACAAAAGATGCTAACTTACCTTCTACCTACCTAAACCTACCTAAAAGTAGCATTGACTTTTGCTCTATTCAGAAAAACGCTATAAATTAAATTTATGTAGATATGTCTTGGCTATGAAAATTGTTTCTAAATGTAAGGGTTGTAGTGACAGATACCCCTGCTATGACAGCAGGAGTGTGAATATGCTGTGAAAGGGATAGCTGGGAATTCTCTTAGTCTTCCAGCTGCAGCGATCAGTGTCATTGGTCTGGAGTGTGGGTAGCACTGACCTGGTGGTGTGCTGGGCATTTTTGTCCACTTTCTGCTTTATAGTCAAAGACAAGTGCATCTGCCATACCAGGTTGTCATGTTTCCTGCCAGGATAATCTGGATGGTTCACTTGCAGGAGTTGATTAGTATCCTGGTGTCCATGCCAAAGTGCTTCAGGCAAGGCATAAAGAAGAGACACTGTCTTGCTAACTTTATGATTCCATCCAGATGATGTGACCAGTTAAGGTCGCTACTGATGTTACCCCTAGGAAGTGGAAGGTGGTGATCCTTTTCACTGCAACACCCTCAATGCCATGTGTCCTCCTCTTGGATCTCCTTGGTTTTGCCGTCGTTCAACAAGAGGTTGTTGTCTTTGCACCAGGATGTTACTGCTGACTTCCTCTCTATAGGCTCTAAGAACTTTGTCTGGGATGCAGCCGAAGAGGGTGGTGTCATCAGCAAACTTGACAATGGTGTTGAGGCAGTGTGTGGCAATACAGTCATGAATGTACAGGGAGAAGAGTAGTGGGCTGAAGACACACTTTTGTGTAGTGCCTAAGCTTCATTGTTATTGAGGAGGAGGTAGTGCTACCGTTCCTCACCACCTGAGGTGCCTAGTAGTCTAGGATCCATCTGCACATGGAGGAGCTGATGTGGAAGTCTGTGAGCTTCATGACCAGTTTATGTGGTAGGATGCAGTTAAAAGCTGAGCTAATGTTTAATAAATAGCTTCCACACCTGGTCCAGGTGGCAGAAGACCGTGTGGAGTGCTAGTGTTACTGCGTTGTTTGTAAATCTGTTTGGTCAGTAGGCAAATTGGATTAGGCTTTGTGCACTGGGCCCTTAAGATGTTAAGTGTCATTTAACTATTTCCCTAACGCACCGATAGGTGTGAGTGCAATGGTACGGTAGTTATTTAGACAGTTTGTTATAAAGGTTATTTAACTTTAGAACCAACATTAGCTAGAATATTGTTAGAATAATATGTTTTGTGGTAAGTCTTACTTAAGTCTTACACGTACTCTATACTTGCTTACAAATGTTTTTAACTGTATTATTTGCTAATTCAAATAATGATATCTTAATACTTCAGAATTGAGTCGTTAGAGTTCACTCTGTTGCCCTGGCATCTCATGACTCAGATATGTTAAGGTAATAATAATGTTATCTTAATACTTCAGAATTGAGTCGGTAGAGTTGTAGGTTTACTCTGTTGCCCTGGTATCTCATGACTCAGATATGTTAAGGTAAGGTAGAAAGAAACCTGAACAGAAGTAGCATTTGGAACCAGATTAATTATGGACGATCGCAGGGACTGTTATTCGAAAATCTGTACGATGTTTGAAAAAGCTCTAGATGCTGTTTTTACTTAAAATATGCAATTCTAGCTCCAGTGTTCTATTTTTTTTCACTTATGTAATACATTTTTGCATCACTCCAAAAAAGACAGGAAATAAAAAGTCCAGACAGAGAGTCTGGAGAGAGCTGTTGAAGGACAGACATCTCAGGTAAAAACCAGTACATCTAATAAAATGAACAAAAATGAACAAAATGAACAAGCAGACAGAGGATGAAAGACGATTAAATATGTGTGAATCTGTATTTCTTCTTTTTCATTATGTTCACCCTTTTATTACTGATTTTCACTAGCACTATATCATGAGCAGTTAATGATGATACACCATAAGTTTTTCAAGTATTTGCGTGAAAGACGAGGCCCCTACAACTCTTTTTTTCAGTTTTCTGAAAGAGCCAGTCAGAGAAAAAAAACAACAACTTTGTGACAGTGTGCACAAACATAGCATCCATGAAAGGCATCATCTCCTTCCTTAGCGCTCGTCAGAGTCTTGGAGGCGTTTGGGGCCCCAAGGCTGGTTACAGGGCGACATTGGGAGACAGTGGACACTGCTGGGCCCAGGCCAGCTCCTCCTCCTCCTCCTCCATCACTTAATCCCTTTGTCAAAACTGTCAGGGCCTCCTCATCCCACTCAGCTGTTCGCTGTAAAACTAGCTGGAAATGAGCCAGAGAAAAGAGAAACGTGACACAAATCCATATTCTCCTGTTTGATACCGCTTGGCAGCCTCCTATGCAGAAGGGAATTGTGTTGTCCTAAAACCTTAACAATTTTATTTTATTTTAACTGTCCAAATTCCGTGTCTCTCCGGCTGGGTCTTTGAGCAATCGCCACAAGAAACGGTCAATTGTTTAACTTTAAAGGCTTGTACAACACAATCTTCATTAGTCATATTCATTGAAGAACACAATCATTGAATCTTTTCAGATACTTCCAGCCTATTCCAGAATTTGTAGCACATCGAAAATGAAGAAGGGAAGAGAGACATATAACACATCATTTTCATTATGGCAAATTTAGTGACAGACAGCTTAAAAGACTGTGAAAAGGGAAATATCTATGTAAACCCATATGATAAATGGTTACACATAACCTAACTTTACTTTATTATGTGTAAGCAAGCAAGGTCAGCTGTTCTTCTGGGCAATATAAAGAGTATGAAAGGTCCACCAATCCTTGCAGATCAGGATCAGAACATCCATGGCGTGTTTATAACATGTCATGGAAAGAAAGTTTCTTCTGTCTTTTTTTTTTCCCTGCAGCCTCTGTTCAGATCAGAAACACTTGCTACTGAGCGCTCTTAGTTATGCAGCCCAGTGTTGTGGCTGCCTCGTCTGCATACCAATGCTGTTGCCTCTAAAACGGAGTGACAGGCTGCTAAATGAGTTTTATGAAATTACGTTAGCCTTGTTTAATGTAGATAATCAAGACTCAAACCACAGGTTTTTATCAATAGAATCTGAATACAGGAACGGATGTGAAATGTAACCTGTCACATTTAAATGGTCATTTCAACAAGACTAATTCAAATTAGACTCATTTTGTCTAATCCTATGCTTAATATTTACATTTTTGTCAGACTGCTGTGCACTCAATAAGACAATTGTCTATGGTCATTTGGGATTTTATTTTTTGACAATGAATTCTGCACACCGTGTGTGAGAACTTGAGACAGGGAGAGACACTGGTAATGGTTCACGCTCCGTTGAGTTTTCCTGTGATACAGGAAGTGGTGATGTAATAGTGTACAATACCAACGCTCTTTCTCACACTCACCCTTTCTCTCTCTTCCCTCATGTTGAAGTATTTGCCTCTGGTCAACTGGTAGACTTTGTACCCCATAGTCCCACAATCTGCTGAGAGTGTGTGTGTGTGTGTTTGAGACAGATGGAGGCTAGTGGCTGGCTTTTAATACTACAGGGAAATATAGATTTTTGACAAAATTAAAACAAACATCAAGCAGGTCAGATGGAGTTTATCACCGCGCGTGCCACAGACACAGAGGCTCACCAGACCATAGATCTATGATCTAGACCAGGGGGCACCAACGTGGTGATGTGGATTACCTAAGGTGCCCGCGGGGTATGTTCAAAAAATAAAACTAGTCAACAAGAGGGTCAGAAATTGTACTGAACTGTGCTTTTAGAATCAGTTACACTTGAAGTGATATTCAAATGGGTGCAATGGCGATGTAAGAAGAGCGTTGACTATTGTATGTCCCACAACCTATTATTATTACATTGTTCGGGAAGTCTGTATCAAAGTAGCTCTTCGTATAACTAAGTGCCCTTGAGTTAGTTCTCAGTTTTAAAATGGTTGGTGACCCCTGATCTAGATCTGTGTCTGTCCTGTGTCCTCTAACAGTTTTTAAGCAGCATGCACAAGTCATACAACTGTACCAGGAGGGGAGTGATCTGGTGGTACAGCCAGGAAAGAAACCTCGGCTTGTTCATCCTTTCAGGATCTCTCGTGTTACTGTGCTCTCCACTGAGAGGCTGTGCTATACTTTGGTTTCCAGTTGTTAATAAGGCTATGTTCACACTGCAGGCGGTAGTTTTCCAAATTAGACTTTTTTTGCCCTTAAGTGACCGTTAACCTTGAATCCCAAATCCTTTCACAGTGCATTCATTTTGTTTTCCATACACCACACAGTGATGAGGAAAAACAGCATCAGATTACCAAAATAAAGCCGACTTCAACAGGGATAGCTGATGGGTTTAGCGCTGAACCCTTATGAGTTTGTTTAACTTATGGGCTATTGAAGCTTGAAATGAAGTTACCAAATCTATCTATCCATCCATCCATCCATCCATCTATCTATCCATCTATCCATCTATCCATCCATCCTTCCATCCATCCATCCATCCATCCATCAGAACAGTAATTCTGAATGATACACCTGATATTCCTCTTTAAAGTTTAGACTCTGATTAATCCTATGTTGACACAGATCAGGAGTCAGCAAGGCCTCACAGGAAGGCGTTAAATCAAAGAATCAAATATTAGCTTGGAAGACAATCTTAGCTGTTTATAATTTTACCAAAGTGTTTTAATGTCTTTGTGTTGACAGTGCTCCTATCCTGTGTGGGAGGACTTCAGTGCCAAGGCTACAAAGCTGCATTCTCAACTTCGGTGAGCAAGTGTCATAAAATGTTCTCTGTGTTGTATAGCGTGAATTTGTAATTGTACATTTGCTTTAATTGTAGGGATTTAACCAAAGTTAATAACATCGTATAATAACATAGTAAGGTTAATCACTTTTCTTTCAACATTATTACTTTATTATTATTATTTCAAATGTATTTTAGCATTTAGAGATAAAGGAACTTACGGCACATTACTGCCTCCTGTGGTAAGATCGTGTCAATCCGACAAAACTGAACGGAAGAACTTCCAGCATGGATGTACTTATTAATGAAGGCAGCTGTGTAAAAACTAATTGGCCTTCTAAAAGGACCTTTATATGAAAGAAGGAGTAGTTTGCTAATGTTATCCTTTCCTCAACATCTTTTCTCTGTGTTGATGTAGAACCACAGTTCTGGCCGCTGTTGCATTTCTAGATGCTTTTCAGAGGGTGGCAGACATGGCTACAAACACCAGAGGTAGGATCATTGTGTGTGTGTGTGTGTGTTGTTTTTCTTGACCCTCCACATAAGAGTCTTATTAGGAAGCCTTTATTGTAGTTAAGATCTGGGTGCGGTGTAAACTTTTGCTCTGACTGATCAAAGAATTTCAGTTTTTATCTGCACCGCTGTTCCAGTTTTATGGCTTTGAAGTTGCTGGTAAATGTTTACTTGATGCGTTTTTGTTGCAGGAACATGTCAAACTGTGAAACGGTTTTAGTTGAGGGCACAGTATTTGCATTTGGCTGTTCACCTTGTTGAATGCTGTGTTGTGTGTTTGTAAAAATAAAAAATAAATATATATTGGTTGTAAACTTTAGTTTTTGAGGTTGTTTGAAAATAAAAGTCAATTTAATAAAGGAGATCAAAAGTAGCCTTATTCGGAAAATATTACAGAATAACAAAATAAAAAATCATATGAGAAATCTTTTCCCTAAAGAAGTGACTTTTAATATTGCAGTTACAATTGGTGTTGGTACTGCAATGAGGTTGAAATGTTTTATGCACATGCTATGTCGATGATGGAGTTATTTATTTATATTGTTGTTGTTGTTTTTGTTGTTAAAATTTAGCAGACGAATATGTCTTTAAGACCAAGCCTTCTTTCAGACTGTGCCTCTCAAGAAGAGTCATTGAGGTTATTTCTGTTTTAGTCATATTTGGGTGTGTATGTAAAGTGACTCTCATTCTATTCAGAATCTGAATTTCTCTCTGATGTCTGAGTGTGTGCTTCTCATAAATCAGAGGAGTTTTCACTGCTTCTGCACTTGTTTTGTCTGGTGCCAGTCATACTCACATTCAGATGATGCTGTTTCGGGAACAGTAGTGTTTGATGTAATACCAGAGTGAAAGCAGATTTCAACTTAACATGCGCATGTTCTCTTTTCCCTCGATTCAATTTCCCTTCTCCCCTGCTAGTGTAGCATGCTGAAAACCATGTTCCCAAAGACCAGCGCTGAAAGAGATTAGCCATACAAGGCTTTTCTGGGCTAATTGCTAAGTTTGTTTAGTATAGTATGTATGTTCTTGTTAGTTTTTACTGAGGCCCGCCTGGGATTCTCATCCTATTCTAGGACTGTGTGTTATTGCTGTGACACAGCAATTTTATGTTTTGTTTTGATACTGAATGGTCTAACTACAGTGGACTCCCTAGTTACTGTTCCACAACAGCACTCGTATCTAGATTGAATTCTCCAGATTAAAAATAACTAAAAACCAATTAATTCGTTCCAGCCCCCCCAGAAATATACTACTAATCCCCTGCCATCTAAATATCAAAAACATAGATGTAAACAAATATACTGATAATATAAAACATTATCTCTGAAAAAGGCATCCAGGGTCGTTTGTTTTTTCCTACTTTGCAAAATTTTTCCGAAGTAGGCAACGCAAGTATCTTGAAACAGGGAGACAGCACGACCCACAGAGACTATCCGAGGGTGTTTTGTCTCCACAAAATTTGCTACGTGCTAACAGCGCTCCAGGAATTTAAAATGGAAAACTGGTGCTTGGTTGAGCACTCTTAACTAGATATTTCCTCGTATCAGGAGCAATCTTTCACAATAGTTGCAGATTGGTAACATGGACCGCTCGTATTATGGGAAGCTTGTATCTAGAGTCCAATGTATTGACATTAAATGTCTCAGTGTCTGGTTGTAGTCCTTGTTTGGCCTGTGCTAGACTGGCAAAAACATTTGAGTTCCAACATACCAACTGTGTGTGTGTATGTGTGTTTATGTATGCGTGTGTGTGTGGCCACCTTAAAAGTAGAGCATAGGAGGAAGCTCATGTGGCTTTTATAGTCCAGTCAGGAAACATTCTAATGCTCTGTCAGCTCATTATACACAACGATACTAGTAACCCAAATACTACTCACAACCGGACCAAACACACTCACACATTAAGTTGGGACAAGTATTGTATGACTGTCTCTTGAAATAGTATAACTCAATTCATAAAAATCCTTCATTGTCCTAGAGCAGGCGTGGGCAAACTTTTTGACTGTATAAATAAATTATATAATTGGGAAACATTTGACGGGCTGGAATAAAAAGCTGAACGGACCGCATCCGGCCCCCGGGCCTTAGTTTGCCCATGTCTGTCCTAGAGGCACAGTTTGAGAACAAGAATAAAATCGTCCATGGTCTTAAAAGCTGATGTATGGCAGCATTTCAGCTTCAAATGTTTAATTTCACTCAGAGACAAAACCTGCAGAGGTGTCGTGAGTGTTTTTGTCTTCTACTAACAAGAGGGATAAGGTGGTCTGTTTCAATCATTAAAAGTTAATGTATAAAAAAAGTTAATAGTGGATTTGAAATGAACTTATTAGAAATGTATATTGATTTTTCTAATGTCTTTTGGATAAACTTGACCTTTATTTTTTTCTATTTTTCATGTGATACATTATTTTTAATCCTCTATTTTAATGCCAAGTATTGGATGGGAAAAATTGGATGAATGAGTGTAGGAATCCGCTTGAACCTGAGCACCAGATGTTGGAAAACACATTTCCAGGTTGTTTATGTTCTCTAGTGAAACGAAGAGTTAAAGATCTAAAGAAAGGAACAGGAAGCAGTGAAGTTTATGTGAAAATGTGGTTTTGATTGTGAGAAGTTTAACCACTAACGCTGAGAGCAGCGCCAGTGATCTTGACTGTGATTTCAGGGTTAACACTCACTCACTTTTAATTCCTAAATTGGAGTTTACAGGGCATTTCTAAGACCATATATTTCAAATGATTTTCTTAAAACATTCTTCACGTAATTTTGTGAGTTACCTGTAAATGTAATAGTTGACTTCGGACCCCCCTGTCAGCTTAGGTTTTATGTGGCAAAGATCAAGACTTCCATCTCTTGCTCGACTGGTTGACATGTTCTTGACTTACTCTGAGTTAGTTGTAGAAACAACTGGTTTCCAAAATCATTTTGACTCAATGTATTCTTAGTGTACATCGGTGTGAATGGTGGATTTATAAACATCCATCCATCCGTTTTTGTCGGCTTTTCCGTTACCGGGTGGCGGGGGCAAGAGGTAGAATTGATATATGATGATAAACGCTAAAGACATTTATAAACATCCATCCATCCATTGTTGTCGGCTTATCCGTTACCGGGTGGCGGGGGCAACAGGCCCCATGACCGCCACCCAAATCATGCTGCACCGTACCAACCCCCCTGAACCTTCCTGTGGGTGGTGAGTCCGCTGGAATGTACCAACCGCCCTAAACGGGATTCGATGTTACCCAGGTCGAGCTTGAATAACGCAAGCAGACACACAAACCCACACTGACTCACAAAGTCAGTAATGTAGTGAAGCCGAGCTGTGTCAAAGTCCTTTAACTCCTGTGTAATCAGACATTAGGCTGAACTCTGTATGCGTGTGTGTGTTGTTGACCCCGGGGCCGGTCCTGCACCGTGACACCAGAGTTTAAGAGTTGGAGGGAGAGTTGAAAAAATAAAAGAGAAGTCACGGAGAGGAGCAGTAAGTGTGTATGTGTGTGTGTCCGAGCGTGTGATAGTAATAGTGAGAGGGAGGGAAATAAATTGACCACTGTGTCTGAGATCTAATTAAGCTCAATAATGATGAACTCAAAACTACCGAGAGGAAGATGGAAGGAGGGGAAATTTAGATAAAACAAAAATGTAATTATTACATGAATATGTTTGAAACATTTCAAATTTACAAGTGTGAGTAAAAAGAGAGGACAAAAACCATTAGGGTTTTTTTTTTGCGTTTAATGTAAAATATGTTCACATTTAAAAACACATTCACTTATGGAAGCTGAGCTTTTATTGTGAAAGTGATGGGACCCAATGGCCTTAGACCTTTGACCTCAGGTCTATAAATGGGAGGACAAAAACAGTTTCAGCATCAGTCCAATGTTCTGCTCTGTCATGGCAACAACACTGCTATTTTTTGTTTGTCTCTCTTTCATTTTCCCTCACTACCTCACACACAAATTCTCTCTCTCTCTCTCTCTCTCTCTGTCTCTCTCTCTCTTTCCATGTTGCCCGGCAACCATTTTCATGAATGTGGTAGCTGGTGTGTGATTGGCTAAAACTTGGATGAACAGCTCTATGTCAGAGCTTAAACATTCAAGTACCACCAGACAGATGCACACGTGCAATGTTACACATTGTGTTTTTTAACACATCAAAGGGACCGTGAGACCTCTAAACATCTTTCAGAAACATTCAAATCTGTTCCTGACCTTTGGTTCAAAAAAAAAAAAACTACTAAAAATGACCACAATGGACAGTGTACCACTGCTGTAATTCTTGAATGATAACAAGCCTCCAGTCACTAGGTGGCAGCAACTCATATAATGGTTTGTACAGATAAAAATATACATGTTATCAGGTTCTCAATAGAGTGGCGCTTTGGCCCAGAGGCAATGTCTCTGTCATTGGTGTGGAACCCCAGGGTTCACCTCCTGGGCAAGTTTGAATCCCGTTTTGGGCGGTTAATACCTTCCCGTGGACTCACACAATGGACAGTGTACCACTGCTGTAATTCTTGAATGATAACAAGCCTCCAGTCACTAGGTGGCAGCAACTCATATAATGGTTTGTACAGATAAAAATATACATGTTATCAGGTTCTCAATAGAGTGGCGCTTTGGCCCAGAGGCAATGTCTCTGTCATTGGTGTGGAACCCCAGGGTTCACCTCCTGGGCAAGTTTGAATCCCGTTTTGGGCGGTTAATACCTTCCCGTGGACTCACCACCCGCAGGAAGGTTTAGGGGGTTGGTACGGTGCAGTGTGATTTGGGTGGCGACTGCTGCCCCTGCGACCCGGTAACGGATAAGCGGATGAAAATGGATGGATGGATGGAGGTTCTCAATAGTATTTTAGTTCACGGGGGTGTGAGTCGGGGAGGCGTGAAAACATTTCTGACCTGAAGGTGTGGCCATGACAGAAAATAAATGAGAACCACTGGGTTAGGTAGATAAAGTATATTGATGTAAACATAAGGATGA